GCTAGAATTATACAGGATAGAAAATTAGACTGAATACAACTGGACCACACCTAGTTTTTTGTTTTTCATAATAAGTATGGTTAAATAGATAGAATTCAACTTACAGCACCACCTCAAAGCTTAAAATTATAAAATAACAATCCAACCTGGTACAGATAGAGCTTAATTGACAAGATATGATGTTAGTAAGATGTAAGTCAACTCTATGTAATGTTAAAACTATTTCATGTCAACTCTATGTCACATAAACTCTGTCTTATGTCAACATTATGTTCTATGTTAATGCAACATCATGTCAACTCTATGGTTCATGTCAACTCTATGTCAGGTCAACTCTGTGTCTCATGTCAACTCTGTGTCTCATGTCAACTCTATGTCAGGTCAACTCTGTGTCTCATGTCAACTCTATGTCTCATAAAGTCTTTGAATGGCATTTAGCAACTTTAACCAGTGACTTTTTCCATAAAGCTGTGTCTAAATATCTACGTCTCATGTCAACTGTATGTCATGTCAACTCTATCTTATGTCAAATTTATGTCAAGTCCAACACCCAAAAGCATTGTGTGTGGCATCAGATATGTTTTCACCTATAAGAGGCTTCAAACTTGATAATATCTATTAGAAATCAAAGTAAATCACAGTAAATATCGTTAATGAGAATTAACATCTTAAAATACTTAATTACACAGATATCTGGAATGATGCAAAAATAAGCCATGATTAGGCTTGATGCATTTCATAAAGTATAGAAAATCTCTTTACAATCCCTTTGATAGATAGACAAGAGGATTTTTAGACACGTAAACATGATTTATACTACAATAGTAAATGTATCTTCAAAATGAAGGAACTGCGTCTTATACCTTGACTGCAATATCCATGTTTATCTTGTATCACAGAGGTTTGTAAATTCAGCCATTTGATACCAACCAATCAGAGCGCTTGACAGAAAGATTATGAAGAATTTGGCTTCACATGAAATTGGGGCTCTGATTGGCTGTATTTGCTACATACAAAAAAATAAAATAAAATAGCTTAAAAACTTCCTTAATATAAGAAAAGTGCCTAATGAAGTCAAGGTATGGAACACAGTTGGTAGGTAATAGATTAACAACTTGGTATAAAAGTTGATGAGATCACTAGAGAACTGGTTAATGAAATTTCACAGCATCTAAACGACTTATAATTACAAATTCTCTACATCTTATAATTACTAATAATTACTGTACATTGACTGGGAGATTATTTAATAATCTACTCTTATCATGAAATAAACACTAATCCATGTTATGTATAACTACATTATTTACTAAAGTGAAAACATGCCTGTCTAAATTATAGCAAAACAAAAACCAATACGAAGTCACAAAACACAATGAGGAAGAAAATATCTAAAAAAGAAACAGACAAAATTAATCAACAATGTAAATCCCGTTCCCATCCTTTTTCTATAACTGACTTGGCTTTTCCCACATCATTCCCAATTTATCACTGATATTAAATAATACTTTTAAATTGTCCCAGAGGGTTACAGGTAATTGGTGTTTGCTGGTACCCCCAGGGGAATGTTACTACCCCAGATCGGAAATCAGGGGCTAAAACCTTAGATCCAAACTGTCAGTTCAAAGAGAAAATCTTCATTAAACTTCTGTTTCACTTTTCACCAAAACTCTATGAGTCTTTGAATAGTGAGATCATGAAAAATCTTGATAAAATCTTGGTAAATCTTGGTAAATTTTGGTAAAATTTGGTAAAATTTAGGTAAAATCTTGGTAAAATCTGTGAATGTGAACATCTATCTCATGTGTTTCACACCTATTCATATTTCTAATTGTTTATCATTTTCATATTTAATAATATCTTGTCTTATCTTATCAAAGGAGGAAAATAGATTGTATGAAACTGTGTTCACAAGACAGTGTCTCAAAGACATAAACCTTGTAAGCATATCTTAGTACTGCTTCTGAGGCCCACCGCGGACTAGAGATTAAGAAATTAGTGATAAAATCTTTTAAAAATGAACGTAAATTTCAAAAATAAAAAATAATATAACGTAGTAACGAACCTGCCATAATATATCATAAACTGAACTCAGCTAGAATAGATTCTGTCATTAATGTCACCTACGTAATATGATGACAACACATTTACAAAAACAACCCTAGGTTACAATTAGCCGAGAAATACCACAAATTGTCTTCACAGATGACATTTACAGCAAGAACAGCAGTTCAGCTATTTTTATATCAAAACTGTAGAAAATCAATATTATGTTAAAGCTAGATCAATAACTAGATGGCAGTGAATAACGATGTCCAATCCTCGCTCTGTCATATAGACAGTCAGCGACAATAATTCAATAATCACACGACTGCAGACACCTTATTTTATTAGGTTGCTCAATTTTCAATGCTTTCTTTAAATCCACAGACAACTGTCATTGTACCACGTTAAATCCCCAGATATCCCCATCTTTCATTCTAACCACAGACATCTTTCATTGTGCCAAGTTCATTCACAGTAATGCCATCCCTCTAACAATACCAGGCAAGTCAAAAATCATTAATGGAAATAATGAAACACGTTAAAAAAACATAAACAATGAACTCTTCATTTTATATTTCCAGATAGACTTACTTTTCACACTTACAAATCCTCTCTTTAACAGTTATTCACCAGTTTTATATCAAAATACACTTAATACAAATATGACAGGGCCTTTCACACAACAATAGTTTTCCATCGGTGACTTTGTTCAACAAACTTACAAACTGTCATCAACCACAGACAATAAGATTTTGTTCTAATCCTACTTAGCCTTCTTAACCTTTCACTTACTTCACTTTTAAAGCAGGATTATGTAATTGAGAGAGGATTAAGTTGAAGTCAATCTTAATCCAGTTCTAATTCCCAATTAATCCTTCAAGTCAACTAATTACTTTGCAACTTTCAAGCTTTATAGAATATTTCTGCATCAAATCTCATGGAATAAATTCAACGAAACGAACTTGCATCTGTTACAATTGACATTATAAAACCATTGCGTATATATATTATATAATTTGTCATTTATGAACAAATTTATTTTTTTTCATCATTAGTTTCTAAAAATAAACTTTCAAGGCTTATTAATAATAAGATATTACATAAGCTTAATTCACAGAAAAATATTCACTGATACAAAATTACCAATTAACCTCTCAAGATACAAATGTACACCTCCAAAATACAAATCAAAGCTTCCAACATACAAATTTACTTCCAAAATACAAACTTAAGCCTTCAAATACAAATCAAAGCTTCCAAAATACAAACTTAAGCCTTCAAATACAAATCAAAGCTTCCACCATACAAATCTAAACTTCAAAATTACCAAAAAAACCCTCAAATTTTGATTTCTAAAACACAAATATAAACTCACTAAGCCTGCCTCTCTGTACCGTAACTAATTACAAGATCATTATTTCTAACTTTATATTTTTGGCACGAAACCATGTTCTTGTTAATTTCCTCCCTTCAGAAACTATTGAAGAAATAAATAAATTATACGGTAGTTTGAAATGTGAAACTTGTGAAACTTCCAGATATTTTCTTATGTAAAGTTATTTTGACCTGTACCTGTAAATATAGTTTAACCCAGTGATATATTCTTCATTCTTCTGCCAAAAATAACACACAAGGTTTTCCTACAATTATCGGAATTTTTCTTATAGAAACTTGAAAAAGTTCTACATTTCATCATGAGGACTTAAAACAATATAAACTTAAACCATTTCTGACGAGTGCGATTTCTGAATTTCCCAAATATAAAAAATGAATCTTCAAATATACTTGTATCATGTAGCAGAATGTAAGACAGGCCTATCAGTGGGTTATCAGGTTCTTATCTTGATGCTCAACGATATTGTATGGCCTATTTTTTAACGTTTTTTTAATAAAGATATCATCATTATTATCATTATAATTGTCTTACAAATTTTTGGGAAATTGAATTTGGATAATGTAGGAGAACCTGACTAATAAACATTATCCATGTTATCATGTCAAGCCTTGAATGATAGATTAGAAAACCATGCATGCCTAACAAATGAAGTTAAAGGAATCCTACAACATGAACTACCGGTACATAAAATAAAAGGTTAAAGTGTGGCTTCGTGCAATAAAACAAAATGGTGATCCATAATAAAATTAAATCAAGTTCGGGAAAAGAAATGCCTATAGAATTTAACAATGTCAGTACTTGAACAATATGGTATGAATAATTTAATGTCTTCATTAAAAAAGAAAGGAAGTTTTCAATGTGAAAAACTTGTTTGGTAAGTTTGTATGTTTGTATATGGTACCCACCCATTTCCCTTCATTATAAAAGTAAAACCCTCAAAATAAAAATCCGGTTACCATCATAAAGTAAAACAATTAGCTTTTGATATTTGTACACTAGAAATGTGAACAATCAGTCTAGTCTAAATGAAGTTTCAATATCAAATTGAACTACCTACATTCTCACAGTCTCACGCCATTTCCTCCTCCTGAAACAGGAGCCTTGTTGCGTCGGCTCTGTGTTTATTTGTTGACAAAATTTCTCAATACACAGATATCCTAAAAATGTGAAATTGGGTGGAGCCTGGCGAATCATTTTTGAGAATTTGATTTCTGAACTAATATTGATATTTATGTGGTCAAATGAGGCATCAATTATTTTGAACCAATTTTCAGTCTGAAAAGAACCGACATTTATAGTTAAATTATTTCGTTTCATAACTAGAAACACATTTTCTCCTATTTGAGACGATTCGTACAGCATAAAGAGTCATTTCGAAACATTTTTATTTCATTTGATATGTTTGTTTTCTTTAGGTATTTGATTTTTCAGATTATGTTAGAAATTTCTTATAAAAGATCATACATTAACACACGTCAAGTACACGCCTATTTTGTAGGATTTTGGAAAAGTAGCTGAAAAAGTATAGTGTTACGAAACGACTCATTGCTGGTTTGTGTACTTCCGGAATACACATGTTATGATTTTATTAGTTAAACTGATGTATTGAATTAGATTGTTAGAGGTATGAATTAAAACTGCACATTCCGAAATAATGATTGAGTCTAGCTATAGCCGAGTTTAAGACCATCTCTGCTTGTCCGTTAATGCGTTATAGCCTTATTAAGCCTACGTCTCAAAAGTAATGCACACACACATACATACACAAAAAAAACGTCACATGGATGGCTATGGCTCTCATGTCCACGAATGACAGATGTTGATTGATTTGTTGGATGAAATGGGGCGGGGAATGGGGTATGGTATTATGGTAAAAATGATGATTTAGCAGAACTTGCCTCAATAATCTATATTCATGAAATACATCTTATGGTTGAATGTCATTGATGTCCACCTCTCAGACTCTCGGAAATGAACAGGACCATGTATTATTGTTGCTTTGTTTATGGGTCGGGAGCCATGGTGGCTCAGTGAGTTAGACGCTTGCTCGGTAACTTGTCAATTTTGACATTGGGGACGAGATAATACCTTCGGATTTTTCTCGTCCCACTCTGCATGGTGTTGCCCTTCTTCATTAGCTCACATGGTGCAGAAAAGTAGGACGTAAAACTCCATTCATTTCATTTCATTTTGCTCTGTGTACAATAATGAGCTACTGTCTGACTACAACCATGTTTGAATCACAATTTTTTCTTTTAATGAGCTTATTTTCACTTTTATAACTGTTACATTGCATTCAATTAGCCCAAATTGCCTTTGGGCCATTAAAATTGGCTCTGGAAACCCAGTCTTGCCTTGCAAGTAATTGTTAAACATAAATTCCTGTTATTTATTTTTCAGGTCTGTATGTGTATTGTTAAAAAATGAGGCGTCTCAATGTTGCCAATAGCAACAAAACTTTAAAAGTTGTGAAAGAATTAGATGCATTTCCCAAAGTACCTGAAGATTACAAAAAGACAACAGTTTCTGGAGGGGGGTGTAAGTAATTTCTAATGTATTATGGAAAAGATTTATTCCTGGAGAAGTTTTGCAAAATATTTGTCTTGGAGAGCTTATTTCAAGACACTTCATAAGCATCAAAATTATCATTAAAAATAGTTAAAAGATTTTTTTTTTTGTGCATATTACGAAAGTATCTTCTGAATACTCTCAAAGGGTACAAGTAGCTATATCTTTTCATTGGTCATAATATTTTCACAACCTTAGTCAAAAAGCCAATCAAATCCATTCCCTCAACTATATTGGTTGAATGCATCCATGGCTTAGCTTGATAGTTTCATTGTATTTAGATAACCTATTGAAAAAAGATTATAATAGTCAAAGAAGTCCAATGCTCAGCAGTATGAAATAAGAGGGCTTAGTAATTTTAATGATGTAGGGCAACATGGATGCAGATTTTCATTATTTAGATAGCAGAATTTCTTGTCAGCTTTATAACAAAACACTAAGAAACAGATCTTACTGATATTTACCTGTATATTGACAAACCATCACGTTTTATAACTGATATATTTTGTAATTTCAGTGTCTATTATAACGTTTATAATTATGATACTATTATTTGTATCAGAGTTTCAGTATTATAGATCTACAGAACTGAAATATAAATATCAAGTAGACACCAATTTTACTAGGTAGAGAATTGATTGTATAATTTTCATAAATCTTTTTTTTCAGTTTTATTTCCAAATAAACCAAGTAATTCTCCTTAGTCTTAAAATCCATGTGTCCAGAATCATTCATCCGCGTTTGAAAGTTTAAAAGAAGATTTATCTTTTCTTGAGACACTGCCATATATAGAAATAGGAAAAGAAATTCCTGTTTTGCAATATTTTTGAAGGAATTATGCGATTTTTTAACATTTCTAGTACTTCTGAAGACTTTTTACATATATTCTCAAAGACTCAAATCACCACCTGTCCTAAAATGGCACATCTGTCCCTTTAAAAGAATTGATGTACTGTAGAGAAATTTTATGAGTGAAATTGTAGTTTTGTAATGAAGGAAGACCTGATAAAAGAAATTTAAGAAAAATAAAAAAACTTTTTAAATAGCGTACTCTTTATGGTACTCTTTCTCAGGTTATTTGAAATGTTCAAGAGATAGTCATCATTATCTACTGTTATATTTCAGTAAATTACAAGTCAATATTGATATGACAGTAGCTATGCAATGTAACGGTAAGTTCCATGTATAGTTTTGGTGAATAAAGGTGGCATAAAGCACTAGGTTCTATATTTATTTATCAACTAATTGTATTTATTTATTGCTCATTGTAAATTATCCTGTAATTTATTTCTCCACTTGATAAAGGTCGTGTAGACGAAAATTTGTGGCAAATAGGAGTTGTGTTTTCTTTAGTATAAAAAGAATTCCCTACAAACGATAGTTCTATTTTAATCTACAAACTATTTGTATTTAGATATAGTTCTATTTTAATCTACAAACTATTTGTATTTAGATATAGTTCTATTTTAATCTACAAACTATTTGTATTTAGATATAATTCTATTTTAATCTACAAACTATTTGTATTTAGAAATAGTTCTATTTTAATCTACAAACTATTTGTGTTTAGATATAGTTCTATTTTAATCTACAAACTACTTGTATTTAGATATAGTTCTATTTTAATCTACAAACTATTTGTATTTAGATATAGTTCTATATTAATCTACAAACTATCTGTATTTAGATATAGTTCTATTTTAATCTACAAACTATTTGTATTTAGAAATAGTTCTATTTTAATCTATAAACTATTTGTACTTAGATATAGTTCTATTTTACTCTACAAACTATCTGTATTTAGATATAGTTCTATATTAATCTACAAACTATCTGTATTTAGATATAGTTCTATTTTAATCTACAAACTATTTGTATTTAGAAATAGTTCTATTTTAATCTACAAACTATTTGTACTTAGATATAGTTCTATTTTAATCTGCAAACTATTTGTATTTAGATATAGTTCTATTTTAATCTACAAACTATCTGTATTTGGATATAGTTCTATTTTAATCTACAAACTGTTTGTATTTAGATATAGTTCTATTTTAATCTACAAACTATTTGTATTTAGATATGGGTGCTGATATTCTAGATATAACAGGACAAGATACTCATAGTTTTGGTAAACTAGATCTAGAACCTGCGTATTTTGAATTATCACCAGAACAAAAAGAGTACCAGAGTTTTATATTAGACGTCAACCGCTATCTACAGACAGAGTACCATGCTGTACAGGAAGTCTTGTGGAGGTCTGGGGGACCTGATTTTAGAGGAGGCATGCCGCCAAGGTAGAAATTTCAATTATTTTGTCTATTTCATACAATGAGATAAGTGACGTATGATCATTACTGGAACAGTCCATGGCTTGCAGAGGGTTTCAGGTAACACTGAACATAGTGTCCCAGTTATAATTTGACACCCTTAACTTTCTAGTGAACTCTTCTACACATGCATATTTATTATAAACATTAAACTGTATATGATTGATTGGAAGGGCTTATTCGTTTGATAAGGGATGTTGAGACTGACAAGACTGGATAATATAGTCGACCAATTAATTATTAGCTTTCTGTTTGTCACTATGATATAGTATATATTATTTTAGGTTCTGATTTAATATTTATATATTTTTTATTTTCTATTCAAGAGAAGATAACCCGAGTGGTAAACCTGATTCTTGTAGAGTATCTGGATCTTTAACAGTCAATAAAGTAGCTGGTAATTTTCATATTACTGCGGGCAAGTAAGTACCGGTATCTTATTATATTTACTTAGATTAGTGCTGGTACAATTTATCGGTGAATCAATGTATCACGATACGACATGCAACGATACATGTGTCGATACTTGGCGATATTTTTTATTCGATACAAAAGAGCGGATTTTTTTATTGAAACTTTGAAGATGAAATATTGATTTTTAACTAATTACCCCATATCGCACTACGTATCATATTGTGACCCTAGTATCGCAATACGTATCGTATCATGGCATAATTGACGATACCCAGCACTAACTAAGATGTTATAAAGATTTTGTTGTTTTTTCATTTAAGTCAAAGTGGTTAAATGCAGGAACAAATTACCAAGAATGTTTCAAGGAAATCTATTATTATTGCTTTGAAGGCTGTCGTAAATGATGTGTCTTTTCAAAATCAAACTGGTTAAAATGATATATTTTCTTTCCTGTGTGAAACTCAAATTGCCATCAGGGTTCTGAGGAAATTCTTCTTTAAATTCTGTTCCGTCAAATTTAGATACTGATATCTTCAAAAGTTATATTGATTTATGCGAGGATATGGAATGATTGCTTTGGGGGTGTGGGGCTGAAAAATGGTTGGGAACCACTGGTCTGACATGGTATTCAATGTTTGTTTTTATTTTGTGAAGGTCTATTCCTATAATACCACGAGGTCACGCCCATTTAGCCATGATGTTAGACGAAACGGGTGAGATATCAGTCTATAGTGTCTTGTTTGTTTGTTTGTTTGTTTGTTGTATTGTGTTACTAACTGTACATTAACAAAATATATTAACTGTGCTTTATATATACAGGTTCTGTTTTAATATTTCTATTACTAACTGAATATATTACTGTATCTGTGTGTTCCGTGTTTATCAACTATCGCGTGAAGTGCCGGGTAAAATCATCGATTATCAGCTTTATGAATATATAATTTATGAATAATAATAGAAATTTCATAATCAATAAGATATTGAAGTTACAATAAATGATTTCACAGCAGTTTATATTGTATAAATGTTGTATTATTTCTAGTTTGTACATGTTTACATTTCCTGCTTTCCAGTTTGTACAACTGTACACTTTAACTGATATTTAGTATGTTTTATACAGTATACTATCAAACAGGGGGGCAAAGGGAACAAATGAATTGCCCTCCTGAAATAATTCTGACAACTGACCAATTTTATTACTGTAACTAAACACCATACATCATTGCCTCTCCTTAAAATTTTCTTCTGGTTGACCAATATCATCATAACAACTAAATGCCACACACAATTTCTCATTCGGATATATTACTTGCCCGTCTGAACAATCAAGTCTACAGGCCTGCTATCAAGTCTTGTTGTTATTATTTGGGGAGCCGCAGTGGTTCAGTGAGTTAGACACGTGCTCGCTAACCTGCAGGTCCAGGGTTCAATCCGGGCATAGAAAAAGCGTCTAGTTGTTCGGATGGGACAATAAACCGAGGCCCCGTGTACTACAAGCTGTGCACGTTAAAGATCTCTCGACAGTTGGAAATAGAAAATGAGCAGGCTATTGCGGCTGTCAACAAAATTACCCTCATTGCATCCTGCATGGCGTTACCCATCTTCATTAGCCCACATGGTGCAGAAAAGTAGGACGTTAAAACTACACTCATTTCATTTCATGTTTTTGTTATTATTTATATTTTGAAGATGGCTGAATGTGTAATAATATCTGTGGTGGACTTTCCAAACCAATAATATTTTCTAATTTAACATTGTAAATCTTATAATTAATGCGATTAAAATTTAGATTTATTCAATAGGTTAACTAGAATCAGAGGACATCATTTTCACATGAGTCCAACTGTTCCAACTAAGCGTAAGAAGACAGCATTTTATTATTTTATTAAAGTTTACCCCGAATTTATCCTATCTTTTAGAACAATTGAATTAAACTATCAAACTACAGCCTTCTAAATACTCTCTTTAACTTTCCATGGCAGGTTATTTTTTTAATTCAAAGGTGACGAAATTTTGATTTTTTTAAAATTTTTTTGTTATATTAAGGGCTGTTATTACCATAGCAACCACCAGTTATATATGCGTATTGTATCGCTAGGTCATGTTTCTCAAAAGTGGGGAGTTTTTGTAATGAAATCACAAATTCTTTTTCACTGACCTGGCTGAAATAGTTAGTAACTATTTATAAGATGGTGGACATTAACCACTCCTATCAACTATATAACCAAATATCACAGCTATAGATTGATAAATATTGAAACTTTGAAGATAAAATGTTAATTTTTATCCCATGATTTCAAATGACAAGACGTATCGAAACGATGCATGATTGGCAGAACCTCGCACTAATATCTAGCCTTGAACATTGTCCCAATTTCCCATTGTCAGAAACTTCTAACCTGTAGCTTATAGTGAAGTATTTAGTTAATATCCTAGATTAGTCACTTACCTTCACTAGCTATAATATATATATATAGATATCCCTTCTCTTTCAACTTGTTCTATACTGGTAACAAATCTTTACAATACTTTAAACCATTGTTTATATATTAACTATTACTAGTTGTTGTACATCTTTTTCTGTCCACTCATTGTGGTGTCTTATTGTTTTGTGGTTGACATGTGCTTTTTTTGTTAACATTATATAACTTTTTATAACTTATTATAACTTTTTATAACTTATTATTAATTTGTTGTTTCTTAATATTTGATATTTTTATTTCATAGATTAAAAATTATATGATTAAAAAAGCTATTATTTTCTCCACAAAATATTTTAATTCAACACAGCAATTCAAATAAAGCTATTTTAAAACAATCAAATATATTTTTGACTGAAAGGGATTGTAAAGACATTTTCTAACTTTGTTATGGGGACACTGATAGCATCAATTTGTACCATTCCAATTTTCAATACACATACAAATTTAGAAAAACTCTTTACAAATCCTTTTATGGATAAATATATGATTTATGAAATAAAATGTGTTTTTTTTCTTCGTCAGATTATAATTTTAGTCATAGAATAGATCATTTATCATTCGGTGAACCAATAGCTGGAGTTATCTATCCTTTAGATGGGGAACAACTTGTAACTAAAAATAGTAAGTTTCTACTTTCAATTTTCCTTTAAAGACAGCTATACAATGTGATACAACCTATAGCATGAAATAAAATTTGAAAGATGAAAATTTACAGAAGTTGACCCCATAACAAGCACAGAAATTGCGTGGAGCACTCAAACTTATCTGCTATTGTCCTAAAAATGATTTGTGATACTGGCCACGTATTCTCGAAACAATCTTAGCGCTAGGATATCCTAGGTTCTTATCTTCTTACATTGATTCTAGGACATCCTAGGTTCTTATCTTCTTACATTGATTCTAGGATGTCCTGGCTTCTTATCTTCTAATATTGATTCTAGGATATCCTAGGTACTTATCTTCTAACATTGATTCTAGGATGTCCTGGCTTCTTATCTTCTAACATTTATTCTAGGATATCCTAGGTACTTATCTTCTAACATTGATTCTAGGATATCCTAGTTTATTATCTTCTAACATTGATTCTAGGATATCCTAGGTACTTATCTTCTAACATTGATTCTAGGATATCCTAGTTTATTATCTTCTAACATTGATTCTAGGATATCCTAGTTTATTATCTTCTAATATTGATTCTAGGATATCCTAGGTACTTATCTTCTAACATTGATTCTAGGATATCCTAGTTTATTATCTTCTAACATTGATTCTAGGATGTCCTAGGTTCTTATCTTCTAACATTGATTCTAGGATATCCTAGTTTATTATCTTCTAACATTAATTCTT